ACCATCACAACAACCGTTAGAAAGCCAAAGGGCATGCCATCGGATTGAAGACCCCCTTCAAATTACATGATGAAGGTTGAACCTTCTAATAAGACCAAAGAGAGTGGGTGCTAGGGATGAGATTTGGAACCGGAAAACCGGACCGGAACCGGAACCGTTAGAACCGGTTCCGGTTCCGGGTTTAAAAATTGGCTTTATCCGGGTTCCGGGTAATCCGGGTTAGGGTCCATCGGGTCCGGGTAAACCGGGTCTAAAAACCGGAACCGGTGTTAGGAACCGGAACCACTTTTAGGGCCGGAACCGGTTTTTGTGAAATGTTTAAAAGATGCATATCTCATTCGTTTCAACTTCGATTGACATGCGGTTTTTTCCAACATCTAGTTTAGAGTTTGTACATGATTTTAGACTATAAATTTGTCATTTTTAGTTTTATATTCATTGACTTACAGTCCCCCAAAGTCGAGATATCAAAGCTGAAATTTTTTAGTTTTTCAGTTTTCTTGTATTCTGTGAAAGTTTTAAAACACGCATATCTAATTCGTTTGAAGTCGGATTGACATGTGGTTTTTTCCAACTTGTAGTTTAGAGTTTGTACATGAGTTTAGACTATAATTTTGTCATTTTTGGTTTAATATTCAATGATTTACAGTCCCTCGAAGTCGGGATATCAAAGCTGAAAATTTTCAACTTTTCAGCTATTTGTTTTTGTACTTTGTATTATGTGAAAATGTTAACACATGAATATCTCATTCGTTTAAAGTCGGATTGACATGCGGTTTTTTCCAGAGTGTAGTTTAGAGTTTGTACATGATTTTAGACTATAATTTTGTCAATTTTGGTTTCATATTCAATGAGTTACACTCCCCCGAAGTTGAGATATCAATATGAAAATTTTCAAAGTTCAACCCACTAAGTAGTAAGTAATTACCAAAAAATTCCGGTTTTTCCGGTTCTAAACCCACTTTATCCGGTTCCAACCTACCCACTTTGATGTTTCCGGGTTTTCCGGTTCTAGACCCACTTTACCCGGTATCGTACCCGGAACCGAACTGGAACCGGTTCCTATATACCGGTCCGGTTTCCGGTTCTACAAAATCCCGTTAAACGGTTCCGGGTTTTCCGGGTCCGGGTCCATCTGGTCCGGGTTTGGACCCATTTTCATCCCTAGTGGGTGCGGTCTCCACTACGGTTTGCCACAGTGACAATGGGGAGCACCGCCTCCACTTTGCAGTCTTCAATGCAGTTTGGCCGCACTAAGCAAGAAACAGTTGTGGTCTCTCTCTCTCTCTCTCTCTCTCATCCTATGGTTTTACCACACCTAAATCCTATGTGGAGTGTCTTTGTCATAGTAAAACCATGACACTACTACCTTCAGCCTAATGGGTGTCGATTAGATCGGTGAGTGTTATATCATATCTTATTATACTTTTGGTCTGTCACGTCATTTTCCTAACACTCTATAAAACCGGTAGGTTTTGTACATACCTTACCACATTTTTACTTTTTACATTTTTAATTTTTTAATTAAATAAAATATAACTTAATAAAATGTAATTATATAAAATTAATAAAAGGTAAGTACTTCGGTAATTTAATAAAAACAATTACATAGCTAAAAAACAATAATTAAATTAAAACACTACAAAATAAGATTAATTGTAATACTTTTTTTCATAATATCCGCTCTAGTCCTCAAAACCATATCGAGCCCGTTTTCGGTTAAATGATCGATGAGTTTTGTTAAAAATTCAATATATGACTTTTTTGTTTTTCTTGTCGCTCTCTTTGCTTCATCTCTCGAGTTTTTTTTCTCCTTCAATTTCTCATTTTCAAAATTCAAACGACTTTTGAAATTCAAATTATAAGTTTCGAAATTACTATCGACATTTTGAATGTCACTCCTCTTCCGACTCTCGGTATATTTGACGAAAACTCTCTCGTTTTCGCCTTATCTCAACCCATCGGTCAAACTACCTCTTCAAGTTCGAGCTCATCTTCTTTATTCAAATAAAACCCAAAATGGGCATCCGATGAAGTAATGTAACTTGTCTCAGAAACTTTGGTTCTTTCGAACCACCTTCTTCGCTTACATACTCTTTTATCCATTTCAGGGACGCAACTAAAATTTTCCAAACATTGATAAATTTGAACAACCTCTTATTGTTATCAATTTGAAAAAAGTTAAGCTTCGTCTCAGAAATTTATTGATTGTTTTCTCCATCTTTTTGTTGACTTAGCGAGTTGTTGTAAATATCGTTGAATTTTGTAACAGTTTGTTCATTTCACAAAACTTGTTATTAAATTGTCTTTTGTATGGTATTCGCCACAACCCATAACACTAAGAAATCGCTCCATAATTTGTCGCCAAAAATGTTCATCTTTTCGCATTTTCGGTTTTAAGATCTTTCGAAATGTCGACCCATAATTTCATTAATATCATCTCTTCTTTCGGTTGAGATTGTTGAAAAGGATTGGCTAAATAAAAATGCTAATTACTAAAAACACTATTAGTCAAAAATCACGTAATTAAATAATGATTTAGCCACCTTTAATAATTAAGTAATAATTACTTAATTATTTTAATTAATAATAGTAACTAACATATATTTTTATATTATTTAATGACTAAATATAAATATAACATTTTTTTAATTTTAAATAATAAATAATAATTGAAAATAAATGTTATAAAACACTAAAAACTAAGAAAAAAAAATAATTATATAAATTAAAGCTATATATAAAAACTTATTGAAAAAAATGTAATTTTTTTAGAAAATAGTTGGGGTATACTTTTAAAATTTTGTATCCTAACGATTATTATTAAATAATTTATATTATAAAACTAATAGAAAAAATGTAATTTTTTTAAAAAGCTAACAAGTCAATAATCATTTTTCAAACTTGATCCCAACTCCCCTCCCCCCTAAAACACCGAACCAGATTGCTCATGGAGAAAACTAACCAAAACACCTTATTTCCCACCCAAGAAAACTAACCAATGAATCTAACTCAATATTAATGTTGATTTTTCTACTAATCTATCAGTTCTAGTTAAAAAGAGTTTCGCCATTTTGGTTTGCTACAATGATGATTATGTCATTGTCGCTCCAAAAGAAACGAAGGTCGTCGTAAAAGGAGTGGTGTGGTGGTTTATAATAAGGTTTGTTGTCTAATTAGCGGGGATTGACGTTGATGATCTCAATGGTGGATTAGAGGTTTCAGGTTATCTATAAGAGAGGAAACAAGACAAAGATATGGGAGGAAAAGGAGGGGGAGATAGTTGGAAGAGGCGATGGAGGTGGTGGCAATGTGTTTAGGATTGAAAGAGTTAGGCCCCGTTTGATAGTTGCTGAACGAGAAAGTACTGACTGAGAAATGTCTGTCTGAGTAAGAAATTCTAACTGAGTAAGAAATCATGTTGTTTGATTGAAAATCTGACTGAATGTGTTGACTGGTGCAAAATAACCATTTTACCCCGATGCTCTACACGTTTCTATGCAATATGAAAAAGATGATGATGATAATAATAATAATAATAATAATAATAATAATAATAATAATAATAATAATAAAAACAACAATAATAATAACAACAATTACAATAATAATAATAATAATAATAATAATAATAATAATAATAATAATAATGTATATAAAACTTCCAGCATAATAGACATTAAATATATTATTTTAGAAATAAAACACAAAAAGCCATTTAGCTTGCTGGTAAACACCATCCCTTCTACAAGGGAAACCTAAGTTCTAATCCCTTAACCTTTATTAGCTGCAAATTTTTATCCAAGCCAATGATACTATTAGAAACCCTCGCTTTCTTTCTGGGAATTTTGTCTATCAAACACCTTTCGTCTGATCGAGTCAGCTAAAAATGTCTGACCTGACTCGGTCAGATGCATATCAAACAGGGCCTTACATTGGCGGTCTTGGGTTGCGATGGAGGCCAAGTAAGATGTCTGGCGGTCTTGGGTTGCGATGGAGGCCAAGTAAGATGTCGTGAGTAGTCGCTGCGATGAGAAGAGTGTTTGAGAAATAAAGAGGCCTAAACTTAGGTCTTAGAAGAGAAAAGGTAAGAGGTATTAGGTAGTACCCACAATCAAATAATAATATAGATAACAAGAAAAATTCAATGAATATATAAATATATCATATAAGAGTAAAATGGCAATTTGACACAAAAGAAAAATTACAAATCAACTAAATCCTCTCAAAATAACTATTTTTGCAATTTAATTTTATTTTAAATTAAAAAAAATTGTCAAAAAATACTTTTACAGTTATCTCTAAAATATTTGAAAAGTTCATTAATTTCATGGATAATCTATGACCGGCCACAAGTATTTATTTCATGCATTTGGACTTATTCATGCTCTGCAAGCTAGTGGGAATATCAACGATATTTCCTTTTCTCAATTAATATTTTTGCGAAAAAATTAAACATAAATTTTTGGGTGAAATTATTGAATTCATTTTATCTCTTTTTTCTATATCGAGTTAAAGGGAAATAACGAAACTATGTGCTAAACTAATTCTAATTTTATAAAACATATTTTTCTCTGTACAATATCATTATTTTTATTATTTTATAAAATGAATTATATCTTAAAATTTGTAATTTCACATAACTGGAGTATATTAGTTATTTTGAACCAAAATATTATGCTTTTTATTTAATACGACAAGCAGAAGTGTTGTTTTTAAGGTACTATCCCTCCTCACTTTTTCAGTCTCCACTTTCTTGATTATTTCAAGTTTCTCACTTCTTTCTTATTCCGATTTTACCCCTGTTTATTGTCCCATTTCACACCACCAAACAATCCATAAATGCACATTTTAATCCATCTGACATCAAGGACACAACAGTAATTTCAAATTGTTTCTCTCACTAGTTTTTGAATTTTCTTTCTATCTAGACCAGACCTGCAACAAGACGAACATCCATTCATTAGTTTATTAATATTCTTCATCTTGAAAACAACACAACTCGACCAAACCCTTTGTTGTTCCATGAATTTTTAATTGCATGATGTGGTTTCCATGATTAATTTTGTGTTCGATAGAAAATCGAACCTCCAACAAACCCACAATCACTATCGCCATTATCACCTTCTTCCATTTTTCTTAATCTCTACTCTTCTTCAACGACAATCGACAGCCACATTTCAACCAATTTCGAGTACCCAAATTGTATTTCTTCATGAAAATGTGAAGATACTATAAAAATGGTGATGCTAAATCGATTTACAAGAAACAAGAAACGGTTATCCGGGAAGATGAAGCTCATACGAAGCAGATATGGGTTCAGACACTTGAAATGGATTCTCTGGCTTGTTGTATCTTTCTTCTTCTTCATTAGATTCATTAGCCATCATCAACCTAGCACGAATTCGTTGAGGAGAACAATAATTTCAAACTCTCAATCCAATGTTATCTCTCGTGCTATCTCGGAATCAAAATCCACCGAAGTTCTCCGGCAGAATCAAGGTTCGTCTCTTCAATGTCACCTTCCCGACCTCCAATCTTATGTTTCCTGGGTTGATTTCTTTCGTTTTGCAGATTTTATGAAGGATTTGAAAGTTTATGTGTACGAATTGCCATCGAAATACAATGTTGATTGGCTATCCAACGAGCGATGTAGAAACCATTTGTTTGCGTCGGAGGTCGCCATACATAAGGCGTTGATGAACAGCGATGTGCGGACATTTGACCCCTCGGAAGCTGATTTCTTCTTCGTCCCCGTCTACGTTTCCTGCAACTTCAGCCCCGTTAATGGCTTCCCCTTCATCGGACACGCACGTGCTCTTATCTCCTCCGCGATTGAGCTCATTTCCTCGGAGCTTCCATTCTGGAACCGCAGCAATGGATCCGACCATGTCTTCGTAGCCTCTCACGATTACGGATCTTGTTTCCATGCCATGGTACACAATCAAATAGAAAACATAGAAAATTTCAGATTGTTAATCTCTTAATCTTAAAAAGCAATGCTGTTCGTGTTTCTGATATAGGAGGATAGAGCTGTGGCTAATGGGATACCGGAGTTCATGAAGAACTCGATTATATTGCAGACATTTGGTGTTAAGCATCAGCACCCATGTCAAGAGGCTGAACATGTCGTCATCCCACCGTACATATCGCCGGAAAAAGTTCAGTCAACGCTATCGCAGTCGCCGATCAACGGCCGTCGTGACATTTTCGCGTTCTTTCGAGGGAAAATGGAAGTCCACCCCAAGAACGTCAGCGGACGATTTTACAGCAAGTAACAATAAATCTTAAATCCCCTCGACTTTTTCTCCATTAACGTTCATTTTCCCTCATTGATCTTAACTTCTCATTTCGTTATTACAGGCGTGTGAGGACGGAGATATTGCAGAAGTACGGCAACGACCGGCGGTTTTACCTGAAAAGACATCGGTTCGCCGGTTACCAATCGGAGATTGTCCGATCATTGTTCTGCTTGTGCCCACTTGGGTGGGCACCATGGAGCCCTCGACTTGTGGAGGCGGTAGCGTTGGGTTGCGTGCCGGTGATTATAGCTGACGGGATACGTCTGCCGTTGGAATTCGCCGTACCATGGTCGGAGATTTCTCTCACGGTGGAGGAGAAAGACGTCGGGAAGTTAGCCGGGATTCTTGATTACGTGGCGTCAACGAACCTATCATCCATTCAACAAAACCTGTGGGACCGGAAAGTCAAGCAAGCGCTTTTGTTTCATGATGACGTGGAACACGGAGATGCTACGTGGCATATTCTTGTCGCGCTGTCTGAAAGGGTTGGAAGGTCTAGTCGGAGGGCGAGGCTTTTGAGCAAATGAGAGTTTTACACGTGGAGATTTTTATAGGGAATATAAAATGCCAACGTGGAAAAGATGATGGAATACAGCTGTAATGTGATGGGACATGTCATCCCTGAGCCGCGTAGGTGGCCCTTTGTTTGCTAGTGGGAATGCGGTGACGGTGTTGTCAGGTCTTTCTTGCTTGATGACGTGTCCGGAGATGATTGGTGTATGTGGGCGGGTGTACAGATAATAGGATGGGAATGTGAACAGAGGATAATAGGATGTGAATGCAAAGAGAAGATATGAAATTGGTCGGAGATTAGCAGATGTCGCTCATTCTATTGTATTTTTAAATTTTTTTTTATTCAGACTAAATTACTAGTTTTGTACAAATGATGTTTAGAAAGTTATAAATTTAATCCATTATTTCATTTGTTGTATTAGTTTATCTCTAAAGTGCTAGTTCTTTTGAAAGAGATCTTGTGGATTTCCATAGGAATCAAAGTGCTAGATCTTTTGGTTGGGGTCTATGATAGGGTCCAATTTGCTTTGGGTCTATATCCTACAAAAGTGGATGTGGAGTACGTGTTATCCGAACATGAAGTCGACATCTTTCAAGAATATGGTATTATATTGGTATATATGTTTAAACTTAGGGAAAATACCGGCAATAGTAAAAAATGGGGGTATTTTCAAAAAATAGATACAAAAAATTGGATTTCCGGATATAGACATGGATTCTGCGGAGTTAGCTCCGCGGAGCTCCGCGGAATCTACTGTAGCTCCGCAGAATGGCAAAATCGTAAATAAATGAGTGTATTAGAAAAAAAAAGGGTTTTTGTCATAAAAGCCCCTAATTTTACACAAAAAAACCGGTTATGCCCAAAGTCGTTTTTTTTGCCATAAATGCCTCAAATACCGGATAATTGGTTCGATTTTGCCCTTTACCCTGATTTTACCTTCTATGGCTGGTAGCCCACCTGGTCTTCTTCTCAAACCCTCTCTACCTTCACCACCATCTTCGATGTTTCCCTTCACCACCGTCTGCTTCTTCGATCGACGGGATCCAAAGAAACAAGAAAAAAAATCGCAGCTCTCTCACTCTCCAAAATCGATTGAAGGTTCTTCTTCCTCTTCTGATTTCACAGCTCTCTCACTCTCTTCTCTTGCTTTGTATTATTGATCCACACTCACCTGGTAAGACCTCCGCCTCCAAGCATCGTATGCGATACAGAGGAACACACAAATTGATTCGGACCTGCAAATTAATTCATCAATGAAGAAGAGAACATGTGTTCTTAATTCATCAAGATTATCAAACACAAGGGTGCTAGAATTGAGATTAGTCCCTATGATTTGCAGGTCTCTCTTCTCTTGCTTTGTATTATCGATCCACACTCACCAAGATTCACAGCTTCCTTCTCCCTTTTTTCCCTCAAATTGCATAAAAGAATTGAGTTTCACCCCTTAGGTCGATTAACAGGTTAAATGTTTCTTTATTGCTTTCTGTGTGTGCACTCTTCTCAGAAAGAAACTGACTTCAAAATTGAAGTATCAATCCCCTTCTTTTTCTCTTAATCGATGGTGGACTAAGGTGATGGCAATGTTGTTTATATGGGTTAACGTTTTTTTTAGATTTTTATGTTGCAATTTTTGTTTTTGGTGTTCAGATGTGCTTATCAGTGCTAGATGGTGTTTGTGTGGGTGGTATCTGTTGGTTCTAAAAGGTGAAATGGGATGATGGTCGGTCCAGATGGGGTTTTTCACATCTGGGTTCTTCATCACCGAACACCCACCTTCATCATCACCATTGTTGTTCTTTCTATTAATAACCTGCAACTAGTTAAAAAGAAGGAAATGGGCTGATTTTGTAATTCATCGTCTTTCATGGCACCTGCTCAACTAGAAATCGAAAATTGGTATGTAGATCAATGATTTGTTTCCGATCAGAAGACGGGAGAGAGAGAGGAGATCGATTTTGATGATCGATGTGGTGGGGATGGTGGATGATGGACGGTAGTGGTGGTGGTGGTTTGTGTGTGGCTGATGGTGGTGGTGGAAAAGTGTGGTGGTGGAGGTGATAAGTAAATATAAGGGCTTCTATGACAAATGTGACTGGCCCCAGAAGGTAAAATCAGGGTAAAGGGCAAATCGAACCAATTTTCCGGTATTCGAGGCATCTGTGGCAAAAAAAACGACTTTGGGCATAACCGGTTTTTTTGTGTAAAATTGGGGGCTTTTATGACAAAAACCCAAAAAAAAATCCCTCAAGATCCATTCCGCGGAGCTACTTCCAAGGAATGAACTCATTCCGCGGAGGTAGCTCCGAGAAATGGATCTTCAGTTTTTTTTTTTTTTTTTTTTTTTTTTTACATCGATTCTTCGAGGTTTATATTCATTCCCTAACTAATTATTTTCAAGCAAAGATTATCATACTATCATAATCTTTTTCTTGAAAATAATCAGTTGTGGAATTAATATAAACCCCGAAGAAACCATGTGAAAAAAAAAATCTAAAGATCTATTCCGCGGAGCTACCTCCGCGGAATACATGTCTATACCTGGAAATGTCCATTTTCATGTCTAAATTTTGAAATTACCCCCTATTTTTTGACTATTGCCGGTATTTTACATTAGAGTAGTATACGTCTTAGTTTATATTTTATTATTTATGATACTTTTAATTTCAGATTTCAGATGTGTTTTTATTATCAGTTTTCTAAATCCGTCACTCATCACCCCATCTTTAATTTACCACTTTTGGCACACTTTTGGTAGAGGTCTTTGTTGGATTATGGTAATTTCAAAACAATAAACAAAATAGAAGCAAACTTGAATATCATAATCAAACAGGATAACAGATTCAATTATTACTTGCAACAATTAGAACTAAAATGTAATATCAAAATCATACATTTATGTTTTTGATTCGTTTGCTTTCTTCTTGGATTACCCAAGATCCTAAACTAGAAATCCTCTTTCGTGATCCCATCCCAAGATTATCATCTAACAATTGGAAAATGGGTTGGCTAAAAATACACTTATTTATCCATATAGACACCCTATTTGATTTTTAAGATATTTTATTGGTTGAATTTGCATTGTTTTCCGGAAAAATAAATTATAAATAGTTTATTATAGGTTGATTTTGTTGGAAATTTAGTATAAATATTTATATTTTTACTAACTTTGGACATATATAAATATATACATATGTTGTATATATAACGAACTCTAAGTGGGTTTGTGTTCTCCTTCATGAGGACTTCGAAACGATATATTATATGTCCAAAATAGAGTATAAGTGAATGAGATATCGATACTCTGGGTATTTAAGAATAAGTTTAGCAAAAGAGAGGAATGTGGGAATGAGTCCCACATTGGTAGAGAGACCAAACTCAACAAGGTTTATAAGCTTCATTGCATGGAAGGCTTACAAGCTTGTGTCTATGGTTATGCTATAGTTCCTACCCGCGCCCAGGAGGGGTGCAAATCTTGGTTCCGTAGACCAAAAACACCGAACTCGTGCATGGGCGCGACCTGCGGACACGAATGCAGCTCCGAAAACTCGGGCGCGCGCTATTGCCATTAAACACCGAACTCGTCCCTATTTTTGAATTCTGTAACAGATGCATTAATTAATGACATTTATTGCCATTAAACGCTCAATCGTCCCTATTTTTGAATTATGTAACGGATGCATTAATTAATGACATTTATTGCCATTAAACGCTCAATCAATTAGTGATTTGTTTCCGTTTCACGATTCAACTATAAAGGAAGACCTTGCCGTCTCATTCAAAGACACGAATGAAATTACTCTTCTTCTTCTTCCTTCTCTGCACTTCTGCTTCCGGCGAATCTGTTTAAGGGAATCGAGTCCAACTCGAGCCTCAGCCACATCGTTTGCATCTAATTTTTTCTTTACAGGAAGCTTTCAAGGACGAAAACGAAGACATTATACTAACAGATTTTTTACCTTTTTGTATACAAATTATCCTGAAAATTGATATATTTATCCATTTGTTTAAGGGATAAATATTTACAATTTTTTTATGGAAACAACCTATCTACTATCCGATGGAGGTGAATCAATTAACGAATTGAATATTTATGGTAGTCTAACAAATCTATGAAGTTTTCTTTACCATTAAGATATATTCTTCTAGAAACTTGGCAAAAAGACCACCCCCTCATGCACTTTCAATGAAAACAATGTAACATGACAAACGTGTCAACAAAAAAATAGACGTGTGGAAAATGATTGAATTTTCAACAATAGAACAATTACTTGACTTAAGTTGAATAACTGTGTAGATAACTCAATAAAATCAAAGATATAAAGGAACCTACGTAGGACATATCATTTAAACGTTTTACATGATCAATATCATTGCCAAAACACAAATATTTAGTATTAGTGTATCACAAGTACCATCTTGTGTAAGTGCGCATACTTTGTGATGATTTTACTTATGTCTTTTCTTATATAAGACTTAGAGAAGACGATAACATCAAGAAGGCTCCATGGAAACTCTCACCTCGTTCCTGAGTTCAACTTAACGAGAGAAAAGAAAGAAAATGAATGGAAATGAAAAGAAATTAAAAGAAATTTGTATTCCCGAGTTTCATTAAAGGAATGAAATGGAAATAAATAAATGGATATTGAATGATCATTTTCCCTTCTAATTTTCCTTCCGGTTGGGAAGGGTTTGAAAAGAAAGAACAAAATGATTAAGTTTCCTTCCATTTCTCTATAACTCGGAAACCAAAAGAAAATTTTCTTTTCCCTTAATTTCTCTTTTTTGTCTCTCCTTAAAAAAAATTTTTCTTTGTTTAAACTCGGGAACTAGACATAGGGTGGCTAGGATGAATAACGAAACCATCTCAATAAACGAAGCAAACAAAATAAAGCAAATTACAAATTTGGTTACCATGTTTTATAAAAAGTTACAAATTTAAATCAAAATTTAAAAATGACACAATGTCGTCCTTAATTTATATTATTTGCTAAAAAATGATTATTAAAGGGACAAAGAAGAAAAAAAAGATAAAATGATTAAATTGCAAATTAAATATTGGTTCGGTTCGGTTCAGTTTTACTAAAAAATGTGCTATCTAAGAAGGTGTTTGGAACTGGAACCAAAAACCAAATACGCCGTAAACTAAGAACCGAGAATCGAACTTAATACCACTAACCGGTTTCGGTTCGGTTAAAAAGTTCAACCCTAATCCAAACCCATGATCAAACATGTAACCAAACTATATTCTAAAAATTATATGCAACAAACTTACATACACGGTCCTTATAGTTGGCAGAAAATGTTTGATTAGGTGTCTAAGTCCATAACTATAATTGGTATGTACTTGACCCGATAGTAG